ACTCCTAAGGGTTAAATTGGAATTTTTTTTTTTTTTTTTGGTTTTTCATCAAAAGGAAGAAAAAAAAGTGGGGTGGAAAGTAAAAGATAGTAGTATACCGTTGGAATAGTCACAATAACAAATTCAGTGGAATCTGTATCACGAAAAAGCTCTCGTACTTTGATCATTCTCTCCCTTAATTGCTCCAGTTTATCAGACTATACAACAGAAAATAAAACTTGATAACTTTTTGGAAATTATATTTTAATTTTTAAATGAGTCACTTACAGCATCTTGGCGTGGTTCTTCCTGTCCAAAGACGGATTTAATGGCTGATGTAGCCGCAGTTATCTTCTTTTTTAGCTGAAGCAGGCAAGAATTTTGATGAGCCATTTAAAAATATGCAACAAGATAAATTGGTCTATGTTCAGTAAATTCTGATTCTGCAAAACAAAAAAAAAATGGTGGATATTCATAAAACGGAATACCAAGTCTAAACTTTGTTGTTCAAATAGGACTAAAAAAATACAAATAAAATTATCATTGGATTCTCCATGCACTCAAAAATAATGAATGACCAAGTTTTGTGCTAACAATGAATGTGCATTTGATATTCATGGCAGTCCAGTAGCACTTGCGCCACATATATCATAATATGGAGTATTTTGGAGAATATAAGGGCTTCTTTGAGATCAATTTTATTATTATTATTATTATTTTGCTTTTATTTTTAAAACATGTTTCTTTAGTGTATTTTTTTGCTTTTAAAAATATATTATTTTGTTTTTAAAAGCACTCAAAACATAAAAAAAAGTTGTTTCGAGTTTTTTTAAAAACAACTAAATATGCTATATTATATCAAACATATTTTATTTTAATTCAAAACATAAAAAAATAAAATAAAAATAAAAAACAAAAAATTAAAATAAATCAAGTGATCATAAAGAGCCGCTAAGTGTCCAAAAATATCATTCATACTGATCACAAGAACAGTTGAGATCATCAGGACCGACCACAAGAAGCATTATGCTTGGTTACTTCAGACAAGTTACAGAGCTTCAAACGAGCCACGCCAACGACTAAATTGAAAGCAAAATACACATTAAACCATGATTTAAAAATCAGACCGAACTGGCGCTTCAAACGTGAAGCGGTTCGATCCAAGTATAGAAGTATTTCTGCATAGAATCAAGATTGAACATCAGAACTAGAGTTGAACTGGTCTGGTTTTTAAAGAACAAGCTGCTTCAAATATTGTCAAATTTTAGCATTTTAATTTTGATGGGATGGCCAAAAATAATATATTTAAATTAAGAAAATAGAAAATATCATGTCTTAAAATTTTTATTTAGAATCTTGTTCAAAACATTCAAAAGTATTGTCCTAAATTAAAATATTATTTGTTGAATTGATAAAATTGATATTATTATCATTATTCTATTATTTAAATTATATTAAAATAATTTTAATATTTATTATATCACCCGGTTCAACCCCACTTGAATCATCGAATCTTGAATCTTTTATTCTTCCAGTTCAATATTTGGACCGGTTTTTTATTTTTATTTTATTTTATTGTTTTGTTTATGTTTTTAATTGAAATAAAGAATTTTGGATATATTATAATATATTTAGTTATTGTTAAAAATACTCAAAATAACTTTTAGATATTTTGAGTGTTTTTATGAATAAATTAATTTATCTTTTAAAACAAAAACTAAAAACATGCAAAAGATGCATTTAACGATCATAATTTTAAAATAAAATAAAAAATAAAAACAACAACAACAAAACCTTCATTCCATTTCGTGGGGTCGGCTACAAGAATCATTTTTCTCTATTGTGTCCTATTTAGTGTCATATTTTCATTTAGTTATAAAAATTAAGATCATTTTTTATATAATAAGCCCAAAGTCCTCCTTGGTCTACCTGTCTTTCTTAACATAAGTCGAATCTAAAACATCTACTCTCCTAATCGGATCAAATGGTCAATGTTTAATGTGACCAAACCATCTAAGACGACTCTCTCTAATTTTGTTCGTCAGTGGAGCTACACCAACCCTATCACAGATATATTCATTTCTCATTTTGTCTCTAAAAGTGTAAATCTACTCATCCACCTAATCATTTTCACCTCGGCAACACTTAACTTAGTATTATGCTTCTCTTTTAAAGGCCAGCATTCAACGCTATAGAGAATTGCAGGTCTCACCACCACCTTATAAAATTTTCCTTTCTGTCTAAGCAGAACAATTCTATCACACAAAAGACCCCGAGCATTCCTCCCACTTCAATCATCCCCTTCAACCAACCTGAATTCTACCATTAACATCCCTATCTATATCACCATCACTTTAAACAACAGACCCGATATATCTAAATCGTTCACATCTTTTAATAAATTGATCACCCAAAGTTACACTTTTGTCATTAGAGATACTACTACTAAAATTGCATTCCATGTATTCAGTTTTAGTTCTACTCAAATGCACTACTCAAATGAAGGACTTTAGACTCCAATGTAGATCTCTATAATTTAAGTTTTCCCTGGGTTTTTTCTCTCATCTTATCCATGAGAAGGCTATCATCAGCAAAAAAACATACACCAAGGTACATCCTCCTGTAAATGTCCAGTAAGACCATCCATAACTAAAACAAAACGATATAGGCTTAAAGTTGATCCCTAATGTAATCCAACAGAAATAAGAAAATATTTGGTCAATCTTCCTTCAGTTCGAACACAATTAACAACTTTAGTCTACATATCTTTGATGACTTCAATAGAAGTCATATCAACACCTTTCTTCTCAAGAACTCTCCAAAGGATATCTTTTGGAACATTATTGTAAGTTTTTTCTAAATCAATAAAAATCATATGTAGATCGTCCTTATTCTCTCTAAAACTCTCCAGCAAACCTTACAATAAATGTCTAGCTTACATGGTGGATCTACACGACATAAATCCAAATTGATTATGAGAAATCTTTGTAATACAACTTAACCTAGGTTCAATTACCCTCTCAAATAATTTTAAAAGTATGACACATCAACTTAATTTCTATATAATTTACACATTCTTGTGCATCCACTTTATTCTTAAAAATGAGGACCAAAATATTGTTCCTCCACTCAGGCATCTTTTAGATTTTAAAATAATGTTAAAGAGTTTAGTAAGCCAAAAAACTCTCAAATCTCCTAAATTTTTATGAAAAGCCAAAGGGGCTGATTTTATCAAAAAAGAAAAGGTACATAAAGGTTGTATGAGAGGGCCCAATAGAGGCACCCTACCCATACGATACCAAGTGCAACACTACCCCAACAAAAAGATACAAATAGACTCAATAAATTTAAAACATGCAGAAAACAAGTAGCTAGGGACAAACCAGATTAATTCTGCTTCTTCCTCTAGTTTTAGGAATGGAGTCAGATAACAAACTTTGAAGTGTCATATTATTGCCATGAGTAATCAAAGTATCATCCATTAAGTTTCCAAGTTGGCATGTGCCCCCAGCCTTCTTCTTCCGCCGAAAAGTGTAAACCTGTCATTCTTCATCTGAAGACTGACTCATGTGATCCTCGGTCTGATTAGATATTAGAACCGCAGTAGAATGAAAGGTAATTGTTGCTACAGCGATATGTTCCAGTGTATGTGAAGTGTGAATTGTCACCTATGCATCTGATGATTTCTGAATAGAAGCTGCGGGGCTATCCTGACTTTCGGTCCGAACATTTTCCCTTCAAAATATGGTCAGGAGAAGCGCTCCCAGGGGCAGACATCATTTCTTGTCTTGTGGTAATTGCCTCCTCAGGTTGGCTGTCATCAAGTTTGGTAGGAGCGCGTTAAGGCACGTGGGGTGCACTAACAGCATGTTCCTGCTTTTGACTATTGGTTTTAAACTGTGGGTGCAATCTGAAACATTTCTCTTGCGGGTGTCCAAACATCTTGCAGTGCTTGCAATAGTAAGGCTTTTATTCCATAATGATTTTTTGCTAATAACCTTTGTGAGCAGAACCAAACCAGACTTCTTCTACATCTGATAGTGTAATATCTCCTTCAATCAAAATCTTTGCAATAGAGAGTCTTGAGAAATAAATTATAGGTGTGTCTACCTGCAAAGGTTTTCCAAGGATAGTCCCAATTGCATATAAGATAGGTAGGTCAAAAAATTGAAACTAAAAATGGGGATCAAAATACTCTTCCTCCACTCCTCAAGCATCTTTTTAGTTTTTAAAATAATATTAAAGAGTTTAGTAAGCCAAGAAACTCCCAAATCTCCCAAATATTTCCACACTTCAATTGGGATATCATCAGGTCCTACAGACTTTCCACCCTTGGTTTTCTTTAAAGCCTCCTCACTTCTTTTTTGCTAATGCGACGGTAAAAATGAAACGTTTTATTATTATTCACGATATTAAGATCATTAAGGTCGGTCGTATTTTCAGAAACTTCATTAAAAAGTTTATCAAAATAACTCACCCACTTATGTTGAATATCTTTTTCTAAGAAAAGCACCTTTTGATTTTCATCTTTAATACACTTTACTTGAGTTAAATCTTTACTTTTCTTTTCTCTTTGTTTGGCTAGTTTATAAATATATTTTTCACCCTCCTTAGTATCTAATCTATCATAAAGATCATTAAAAGCAAAATTTTTAGCGTCACAGATTGTTCTTTTAGACTCCCTGCGAGCCGTTTGATATTTTTCCTAGTTTTCTAAGCTTTTACATTTAAACGAATTTTTATAACATAACTTCTTATATTTTATCTTTTCTTGCACATTATTATTCCACCACCAACTATTTTTATTTATAAAATTTTTTTATTTTAATTCTCCAAAAGAAAAATCTGCCCTTAGTAGACCTATGTTGAAACATTATTCTTTTTCAGCTTTTTCTAAATCAATAAAAATCAAATGTAGATCCTCCTTATTATCTCTGAGCTTCTTCATCAAACCTCTCAATAAATGTATAACTTCCATAGTAGACCTGCTCGGCATAAATCCAAATTGATTATGATAAATCATTATAAAACATCTTAACCTATGTTCAATTACCCTCTCCCGTAATTTTAAAGTACGACACATCAACTTAATTCCTTTATAATTTGCACTCTTGTGCATACCCTTTATTCTTAAAAATGGGGACCAAAATACTCTTCCTCCATTCCTCAAACATCTTTTTAGTTTTTAAAATAATATTAAAGAGTTTAGTCCTAAATATTTTCACACTTCAATTGGGATATCATCAGGTACTACAGACTTTCCACCCTTGGTTTTTCTTTAAAACCTCCTCAACTTCTTTTTCACTAATGCAAAGGTAAAAATGTAATGTTTTATTATTATTATCGACATTAAGATCAATAAATTTGATCGTATTTTCAGAAGCTTCATTAAAAAGTTTATCAAAATAACTCATCGCCTATGTTGAATATATTTTTCTAAGAAAAGAACTTTTAGATTTTCATCTTTAATACTCATTACTTGAGTTAAATCTTTATTTTTCTTTTTCTCTATATTTGGCTAGCTTATACATATATTTTTCATCCTCCTTAGTATCTAATATATTATAAAAATCAGTAAAAGCAGAATTTTTAACGTCACATATTATTCTTTTAGACTCTCTGCTAACCGTTTGATATTTTTCTCATTTATCTAAGCTTTTACATTTAAACCAATTTTTATAACATAACTTCTTATATTTTATTTTTTCATGCACATTTTATTCCACCACCAACTATGTTTATTTATAGAAACAATTTCTTTTGATTGTCCAAGTACATCTTTTTTTACTTTTTAATAGTGTTTGTTATTTTATCTCACATAGCATTTATTTATTCATGAACATCCCAAATTTTAAAATCTGGAATTTTACTCAAAAAAATAATTTTATTTATGTCTTTTAGGTTCCCCTATCTAATTTTACGATGTTAAGTCATAGTATTTTTTATTTTAAAACTCTTCATCTTAAAATCTAGAACTGATAATCAATGTTGGGTACTTAAATTCTCACTTAAAATGACCTTACAATTTTTACAATCTCGACGATCTCTTCTTCTCATAAGAAAATAATCATTTTATGTTTTATAAGACTCATTCTTATAAGTAATAAGATGCTCATCTCTTTTTTTGAATAAAGTATTAGTAATAACAAAATCATACGCTAAAGCAAAATCTAAAATGGTTTTACATTCTTCATTAGTCGCTCCAAAACCGTAGCCGCCATGAATATTTCTGAAATCTTCTACCGCTCTACTTACATGATCATTTAAATCTACTCAAATGAAAATTCTTTCTTCAAGAAGTATTATTTGTATTAAGTTTTCTAAGTCAATAAAACCTTAATAAATAAAAACAAAAAGAATTCAATAAGCCCTTAATAAATAAAAAATAAAAAATAAAAACAAAAAACAAAAATGATCTCAAACAAGCCCTTACTAAATAAAGGACTCAATAAGGTCGCGAGCTGCATTAGGACCTTACCTTGCACAAAGAATAAAATGATGGTAGTGGCCACACTACTGAGCCCGAAAGGAAAGAATTTGCCACATCATCAAAGAACCAAGGGAAGCAACCACACAAGGTTATTTTTTTGGATATTCTATAGGAGGCAGACCAAGGAGGCCACCTAAGGGAGCTTAAAAGATTATTTACTTGTTTTCTAGTAAAACTATTGATAAAGATATCATTATCAAGGTTGTTTGTTTCAAAAGTTATTGTTGTTAGTTGGATGAGAATCATATTTAGAAAAAAAAAAAATTCAACACAACAGATAATCATAACATGTCTTTGGATATCTTTTTTGTAAATATCATCTGCAAATATGGGAATACATTTTTTTACTTTAAGGGAAGTAAATGGCAATCTCCCTCTCCCTCTCAATTAAAAATCATGATTATGAAAGAGTAAAAAAATAGAAAAAAAAAGGAGAATTCATGTTTAAAGGAAATAAGAGGAAAGGCAAGTCAACAACAACAACAATAAGATTTTATCCCAATAAGTGGGGTCAGGTGCATGAATCATTTTTCTCCAATATGTCGTACTGTGTGTCATATTTTCATTTAATTCTAATAAATTAAAATAATTTCTTATACAACATGCCCACGTCTTCTTAGGTCAACCTCTAACTTTTTTTAACAAAAATCAAATCTAAAACATCTACTCTATTAACTAGATCATTGGATGGTCAACGTTTAATGTGACCAAACAATCTACGACTCTATCTAATTTTGTCTGCCACAAGAGCCACATCAACATTTTCACGGATATATTTGTTTTGCATTTTGTCTCTAAGCATAAAACTACTCATCCACATAAGCATTTTCATCTCAACAACACTTAGTTTTATGTTTCTTTCTTATAAGCCAACATTCTGCTCGATAAAGTATTGTAGGTCTCAACACCCTCTTAAAATTTTCCTTTAAGTCTAAGCGATATTTTTCTATCACACATAACATCCCCATTTATATCACCATTACTCTGAACAATAGACCAGAGATATCTAAAACATTCACTCATTTAATGATCTGATCACTTATTGTTGCAACTCCGCCACTAGATTTACTGCTAATAAAATTAAATTCAATGAATTCAATTTTAGATCTATTCAAACTAAGACCTTTAGACTCTAAAGTTGATCTCCATAATTCAATTTTTTTTTTTCTTGAATTCTTTCTCTTGTTTTATTCACAAGAAGGACATCATCAATGAAAAACATACACAATTGTTCATCCTCCTGTAAATGTCCAATAAGAACAATCATAACTAAAGCAAAAAGATATGGGCTTAAAGTTGATCCCAAATATAATCCAACTGAAATAGATCCTGTTCGAACACAAATAACAACTCTCGTATTCATAATTTTAATGACAAAAGTCGAACCCAAACAAATGCTATTATCAAGCAGCTAGAGAATTGTTATTTCTAATTTAAATTTCACAAGAAAATTTCCTTAATAGAGTGAGCCATAAAAAAACCAAGTAACAAAGGGCATTTAAGAGGTGCTTATATGTTTTGCTACCCCAAAAAAGATGTCCATAGCAAATCACATTATTTATTACATGATACCTTACATAACAGAAAAATCAATGCTGTCAAATAATGATTAATGTTGATAAACAAAATAAAATCTGACTCATCATAGACATCAACTTTTAAGACAAATATTTAAAGAAAATATACCTTCAAAATCTTGCCAATGGATGCATCTAAAAAATCTGGCAAAGACAAAAGTCGAAGAGTATGGCCCTAGAAATTAAAATAAAAAATTTCTTAAAAAATAATTTATTTAAATTGTGCAATGAAAATTGAACACCATGCTTACCGTGGGAGCGGTATCAAAAACTATGCGGCTAAACATGCCATATTCTTGTGATTCAAGAAATTGCATGACCTAGAAGAGAGATTTCCATTAGGAAACTATAGAAACCACAAAGGAATATAACCATTGAGAGCAATTAAAAATAACCACTAATTTGTTTCAAAATTTCACACCTTTGAAATTGCAATAGCTTCATCTAATCCCGGGGGAGGTGTGTCAAGTAGCTCTCCTAGCTTTAGCTCTCCAAGCTTTTGATAAAAGGATGAAAAAGTAAAATGAATAAGTACTTTAGAAAAGAGTCAGTTAAACAAATTGTATTAAGAAAGTCAATTTCTTAGATTACTCTTACAAATTGTATCAAATCAGTATAAAGTCTTACTGCAAAATCATTTATCAAGGATGTTAAGAAGTGTGGATCAAAAGAGAATCAAAGTTGAGTTTAATATATCATTAAAACATTATATTTTCAACTCAAAAAAACTTTAGACTATGGCCTAAGGAAGGGGCCTAATCAACTAATATTTTACATCAAAATATTTTTCATCAATCCAATGTGAGACTTTACCCAATACTCTCACATATCTCAACAATCACTCTACTGTGAGCTCTGCACATCGATCAGTACTCTGCCCATAAAATGAAATATATTCAAAATCATCAAATATCCTGCACCAAGAACTCATTCAACCACATATAGCTACTATGGAAGATTCTTGCTCAATGACATTGGATGCCAAAAACGCATTAAAGGCCCATGGCAGACACAAACTGCATGAACAGCTTAATCCAAGCTGTTCATGAACTTTGATATCACCTATTAGAGAGTGTGGAACAAAAAGCAACCCACGTTGAGATTGATAGCACCGATGCTTAAACCCATTTTCAACCTAAAAACTTAAATCCATCAGAGCGGACCAAACACTTGATGTTTTTGCTCAAATATATATATTTTTTTACTTTTCCGATGGAGGACTAAACACAGCACTCTCACATGCCTTAACAAAATACTCTTATTAAAAATCAAAGTTCCATCATATATAACGCAAATTCAGCAGAAGATTAAATAAAGAACATCAATGACCTCAAAATTATCATAATTGGAGCCTTCGCTACACTCTCTGAAACATGTACACTTTAACCATCAATTAATGCTAAACCATGCAAAATTCGTACTGTTAGTTGAGGAGATGAACTCGAGAGTTATAAGGCTAAGACTTTACACCATTTAATGGATTTGTAGCAGGTCTAGCCACAGAAAATTGATGGGTCTATGGATAATGCTCATCAAGAAAACTGTTTAAAGGAACATCCACCATTGTATGTAAGAGCACCTCAGAAATATGACACATTTTACAGATTAATACATAGAAATATGACAATATTTTATAGAAAACTATGAACATGAAGATGGTTTCCGGGTTTTACCTGTTCTGCAAGTATACCAAGACCCATACTATCCATAAAGTCTTTGACTCCTGTACCTCCAGTTTTTTGACTAGCACTACGGAATTCCTCCCTAGCTTTATCAGGATTTATCTGCAAAAAAAAAGGACATTTTTATTGAACAACGCCACAAAGCAAATGAAGATAAACACCAACTCATCAATATTTGAACTAGCACATAGTTGGCCCTATAAACAGACTGATAGTTTCTGTAAGGTAACTTGCACATTTAATAAGAGATGTGGGTAGCAAAGTACCTTACCTCAAGTGCAAACAATGGTGAATCAACCCCACTAACCGGTACCAACGTTCCACCAGTCAAGTCCTAGAAAAAAACGTATGAAACAAAATGAAACTTTTGTCAACGGTAAAATGATCCCTGACTCTTTGCAGGGGAACCATTTTAGTTCCAAAGTTTATAAACGTGTCAATTTTGTCATCAAACTCTTTAAATATAAGTTTAAATAGTCCCCGATGAGGACTATTTAAGTACACATTAGAACAGTCTGATGACTAATTTCGCATTTTTATAAACTCTGGGCTAAAATGGCATAACATAAATAATCAGAAACTATTTGGCACTTCACTAATTGAATAAAATACCGGCCATTTTAAGCTAATGAGATATCTTTAGCAAAAATTAACAATGAACCTGTGCAAATGAATCACTCAAAGAATGTGCAGGGTCAGTTGAGACTACAAGCGTAGGATGGCCATTATTCGCAAACTTAACAGCTAGCGAAGCTGCACAACTAGTCTTCCCAACGCCACCTTTTCCTCCAAGCATGTAATACTTTCTCTTAGCACTCGCAAGCATCTCATCAAAATCTGCCACTGATCCCGCAGGGGTAGCTACTGACCTCACTGCAAAGATCCTAAAAGTGAGCGTGGGGCACGGTGAAATCAAAGCTTAAAGCAAAACTGACTCAAAAGCATGTTATATTTGAAATTAATAGCAAATGAGATCAATTTCACACATTATTTGATTAGTTCCTCGGTTGCAGAAAATCTTCCTAGATTGATACTTGCCGAACAAATTGCTTCATCGCTCCCTTGACCACATGAATATAAGCATG